AATTGTCCTAATACAGTATTCATTAAACGTTGAAACACTGACGGCCCGTTCACAAACCTAACGGGAGTCTAGCGAATTCATAATGTCCATCAGGTGTTATGAATGCAGTCTTGTGTATAGAACCTTCAGCTACCTTTATTTGGTAATATCCACTTTTTAAATCAAGACTAGTAAAAAAATTGCACCCTTTTAAACTATCAATTAAATCCTCTACTAAAGGCATTGGATATTTTTCTTTGATAGTGACTTTATTCACTATCAAAGAAAAATATCCAATTCGATCGGTAATCTAAGCATAATCGTTTTTCCCCAGAAGGCTTATCTACTAAAATAACGGGACTTGCATAAGCTGAATTACTGTTTCGAATTATACCATTTTTCAGGAAATCATCCACTAGCTCTCTAGTAATTGCCCGTTCTGATTCGGACATCCTATATGGAGTTTCTATTCTCTGCCAATTGAAAATTTTAAACATTACCAACTCTGGTATACATAATACGTGGGTCTTCTGTAAAGTTTCTACCAATAAGAATATTACAATTAGCTAAATCTTCGATAATGTAAAATTCAACTAAAATTTCTAAATTATCAATGTGTAATAACACCGTAACAGATTCCGTAACGTCTGAATAAGACTTATTGTTAAATCCTACTAATTTAATCGGCTTGCCCAATTTCCGTAGTTTTAATTTAAACTGATCGACTAAACTTCTTAATAGTAACGAACAATCACTCCCCATATCGATGAAAGCCTGATGTTTATAGCCATTAATTGTAACATTCTTATAAAAATTTTCTTTTGAATTGCAGGTACTTATAAGTTTAACCTCAACATTCTTTTCAACTTTTGTTTTGTGTTTTGCGAAACAAACTTTTTCAGAATGCCCCTCTTTATGGCAAAAATTACATTTAATATTACTTTGCGTTGAACAATTATTGCGTCTATGTCCAATTTCACCACATCTGTAACATGTAACGTTTTGTAAATTTGAGTTATTGCTTAAATCTGCCTTTCCCGTGTTCAAATGTCGAGGCGAAAATTTCGATGTCATATTTCTTGATTTATTGTCGGTAGACACAAACATTTTACCATGTAAAAATGAAGCCAAATCATCACAATATCTAAAGCTACCGGCCTCAGCTGTCGTACAAATATTTCGATCATCAATTGAACCTACAATTATGGAAATTATATCTTTTTCAGAAAAGGAAAGCATTAATCTATCTATTTTACATTTTTGTTTAAAATAAAATTCATACAAAGATTGACCTTCCGATGGTTTACATTCAATAAGGTCTTTCAATAAAACGTACATGTTGCGGCTAACCTCGAATGCGTTTAACAATATTTTACGCCAGTCAGTCCATTATCCAATTAGTCTCAGTTTTCAACATAGAATCGTACCATGTTTTGGCGGTACTTCTTAATTTTTGTAGTGCCTGATACTTAATTACATTATCTGACCACCCAAAAGTGCGAGCATTAGCGTCCACTACATTCAACCACATATATATATCGTCCACCATCGGATCGAATTCGGGGATTACACTTGATAATATAGTATTTTGACTTACAGTTTCTAGCCGCTTACTCTTTTTACGCCTTGATCTTCTCGAGTCTTCATTCGAGCTTGATGTGCTAGTTGAGCTTGAAGTAGATGACGTAGAAGGCTCCCGTGCACGGCGGGGTGCCCGCCGCCGTCTCTCGAACGAATTTGTTTTCTGAGCGCGTGGCATAGCGAGTTCAAAATAAGTAGCAAAAGTATCCCACTTCTGATATAAGTGAAACAACGTTTTTTTGCTCTCAATCTGTATTTTTCAGTAACTCTGGACTATATGTACAAATTACAATTAATTAAATAGCAACGCTAGTAATTATGTGACCGTCCAGGAACAGCGCCGAAATGAAAGTGATCCGTGAGCGCTGCTCCATGCGAACAGGTGCGTCATCGCTCGTAATGATGACGTCATAACCGGTGTATAATGTTGCCAGCGACAACATGTATATTACGTGCGCTGTGATACAGCGTGCTTTGTTATTGACTTTAAAATAAATATACTTGTGCGCTATCATTAAAACATGATGCATATGATAGACCCAAGAGAGTAGGCGTTGAACCGTTTCATAAACATGGCCACATTAAAACCGAATCTTCGTTCCTGTAATAAAAAATGTTATTACTGACCCACTCGGTTACTGTAACAAAAGCAATATAGAAAGATTTATAACTTGTGCGAACGTAATATACAGGTCCCGCCGACTGACACGAGCTTATCATTAATTTGAGCCGTTCAGTTCGGCTTCACTTTACGTGTTTGATAAAATATGAAAATAAATAAATACCGAAACATTTTTAACAATTATGTAATCGTTTCGTAACATTCATTTAATATCATATAGGTAAAATTTTATCACTGTGTTATAATAAACAAGCAGCTCTGGGCTTTACCGGGATGATTTATAGAATGAGATTGGCATGGATTGACAAACCTTCGTCTCTCTTTACAATACAATATCACCCTGCCGCAAAAATATTTGAAATTACAAGAAGGAACTGCCGAGTTGTGTTTTACGCGATCTATCTTCTAATTTTACATGTGATATGTTATCGAGAGGTGTTTGGTCTTCTTCGAGTCTTTCTCGATAACGTTTTAAAATACAAATATTTTTTTTTTACCATTGCATCCCTTAAAAACTAACAACTTACGGTCACAACAATTTAAGTCAATTAGTTATTTTTTACATCTTTAGAATAAATTCCAAAAGTAGGTTAAAATTGTAAACATCGATTTAATTATGCTCCGGCATTATTAACTACTTGATATAATTGTACTGTGTGTCATCCATCCAACTAGATTTATAATCCGATCACCGTGTCTGCAATAGACTGATCGCATTGGCGTTTAATCAGACTTTTAAAACAGATGCAAAGCAAGGTAAAATAATAATAATCAGAAAATATCCCAAATGAGAAATTAATACGCCTACTCAAATAAGGACCGTTATGTAGTGATTGATAAATGATGAATAAATTATTAAGATAAGATTAAGTATATCTACTAATTCAATATATCAACTTTTGTTACTTGTGTGTTATTTTATCAATCCTTGAATTCTATGCCACCTTCGTCGCGTCGTGATGGCGCCTCCAAAGTGCCTCTTCGAGACCCAACCTCCGTGGGTCAATATAGCTTCATCTCATAGTAATACGTCTTTTGGGGTCGCTTTTAGTTTATCTTGTGATTGAACTGAATCAGAATAATATTTTACTTTCACTTTTGTCTTTCTCGATTATTATCCTGTCTTAATTAAGAGAGTTTGAACCAAGATACCTATTATATTATCCTTTGAATGTGAAAAGACATAAAAAAAGGAATCAAATGAAGTGGTTGCTATATTGCTGTATAGGTAATAAATTGCCGTCGGCAATACGAGACATAAGTTATGAAACTTGATCGATTCGTTACTATGTTACTATTGTTTTCTCTTTATCTGTTTCAAATACGTGTACAAATTTATATAAAATACCCAATTAGTTAAAAAAATTCTTTTGAACGTGAAAAATGAACGAGCATTTTTCAGTTTGGCATGAAATGAGTGCTTTAATCGGATGTCCTTGCACCAGCCTCGAGGCTTTACAATTTATTTTAGACAGCTTCGATTTAAAATATTCAGCAACGATGAAAGCACGTGATTTCCTTTGCATTTTCCCGATACCACAGTGCTCCGTGCCCTCTACAGAAGGTGTCAACTACGAGACAGATAATAATATTAGGTACTCAGGCTTAATCTTGTTTTATTGTTTCAGCGAATCAGAATATGCGATAAGACGTGAGCATGGTTTTAATTTTTATCTACGAAACTCAATAATACAAAAATATATAACGAGACACCAGGATGTATAAATGCAGTATTAAAAATAATCTGACGACTCAATTGGCGTAGCTTGTCGATAGGTACGATAGGTACACTGGAAAAGTATTGTGCGATAAACAAAGTGTTTTTCTAGTGTCTTATGCGTGTTTATGTATTTTTCTATTTTATTTATGCAATTGCAAAAAAAGAAAAGTATGTATATCAATTGCCTAGCGCCAAAATTACTAGCTGGGACTAGATAATGTTGTGTAAGAACATAACCTGAAATACTATATATTTATTATCAAATGACAACTAAAAAAAATGTCACTTCCTTAGTTCGACGAGGACCAAGGCATTTAAAATTAAATGAATAGTGAATAATAGAGAAAGTGAATCGAAAGATAAGTTTAAATTTAGAATGACTGTCGGGTTAAAGGTGGTCGATAGAATAGCCGATGCAATGACAGCGGCTGCCCAGATAGTGGCACCGCTCGATACTCTGACTGAAAATAGCTACCCGGTGATCAATAACGATGGAAACGTTTACAAGCCTCGTTTTATCTAACAACACACTTGCAACGCTCACCGGTAACAGTAATACATTTTATTTAGGATATTTATTTAAAAATGCCCCAGTTTTTTTAACAAAAAGACGGCTAATCCTTGAGTACCCCAGGATTGCATTTTCTTATTCCTTGCTTGCCTTTCTCGACAATCATAACATAGAGGTCATCTAAGTCGAACCTAACCTGTTTCTGGATGAATCGAATCGAGTAAATTCTTAATATTTACCTTCTTCGCAAACGATCATTTTCAAAGATAAATCTAAATTGTTAGTGAGAAATTTATTTAAAAATGGCATGCTATAACGCAGCCGCTATTATGATTGTTTTAAAGTTATATACTTGTTTGAAAGAAAAGTTTAAAAAACTGCAGGTTCGAACAGATATTTTTGGAAACTTCCAATTTTAGCAAAGGACAGTAACTTTGCAGCTGGTACGTTACTTCTTCTCATATTAAAATGGTTAACAAAAAATTTAAAGCAACGACCATTTTCTGGCAAATAAAGAGAAAAATTATTCCAGTGTGTTAAAATCTTCATCTTAAATTAAAATTTGACGATGTATATGTTTGTTTCAGAAAATTCATTCCACTGCACATTATTGAGGAAGACAGTTACGAAAAAGATGTTTTATTTTATGTCAATTTGGGTGACCCGGAGCTGATGGGCGGTATGGATATATATTATTTATAACAAAATAATTTTGATAAGTCACCTCTACATGCACGCATGAAAATATCATAACTATCACTGATTTAACATTTCTTAGCACTTGAGCACGTATTTTACATCTTGTTGAAAATGTTTCCAATTTATGATCTGATACCGCTTGGTACAAATTTATTTTGTACAATTTAAAAACGATTTATACTTTTTAATTAAGTAACAAGCGTCTACAACTTTATTTTTATATTGCTAATCTCTGCACTTAAGATGTAACATTAATTCTGCGCGCGAATTCGGAAGACGTGGGTTCGATTCCCGCAGCGGCAAGCAACTTTTCGTATTTTTTCTAAAAAAATTAAAGCGTATTACGCATCTTAGACCTTTGCAAAATATTCTCCAATGATGATACTTACCCACCACATCAGACCACACAAAACACCGGAATTACGGCATAAGTCACATGTATAAGCACTTATACATGTGACTTATACCTTATACCTTAATCCTTCCCTAACTTGCCTGAAGAATAAGCTAGGGCCAAAATAAAAATCAAACATTACCTCCAAGAAGCTGTACATTTTATATTTTTAGTTTTTTTTCTTTATTTTGAAAACGTTTATAACCATTCTTTTTGAATTATATATTCAAGATTTTTTATATTTTATACTATCATCAACATTTTTTATCCAATATTTGACCGCAACTGTAAGATTAATTTTCTTAGTTCAACCCCTGATAAGTTTTCTATAGCAAATGGTTCCATTTCATATTAAAATGCGTCGTATATTAATACTTTGCTCTTTTAAACAGGATGCGAAGTTGTTTGTATTTTTTTAACTATTTCATAAACATTTTACTTTTAAACTACAAACACTGTAAATATAAAACAATATAAGTAAAGAGAAATCGCTTAGATATGCATCGATATAAAAAAATTAGTCAATACCAGCCAATACCCAGTGTGATTATAAGATTACTTTTAAATATTTTGAATTGCTTTTAATAACTACATGTTCTTTCCAATAAAGCTTAGAACATTTATGTTATTTTTAAAAGTATATTTATAACCTTCGACAACTACCATTTTTTGTTGTCAATTTTCAGGAACCATAATTATGCATGTAGTTAATATATCCTAAATTAGGCAAAGAAATATAATTATATGTTGATAAATATCTACGTAATATAAAAATGACCTAAAACTGTATTACTGATGTGTGTAATATATGTTTAATAGAATTTGGATTATACACATATATATATAGTTTGTATATTTATAATATGTATATAAGTATTAATAAATATTTAATCCTTTTTTATTTTTTATACATTTTATTTACATCTAATTTACTTTTCTCCTCTTCTCTTGTCTTTTTGCTGTCACTTGATGGATGACTCACCTCTATTTTTCTCAAGTAAGAGTTAGTTCTTCTGTTGGAGTAGAATTTCAAATAGTTTTGTTTATTCATTTGTTATGTGTTGTTTTTCCCATTTATGATTTAAATTAAACGGCATTAACTCATCGACTTTGCTTATATGCTACAATTATTATACCACATAAGTAAGTATCAAGAATTTGATGCTTAGATATTGCTAAATAACTCTGACATAAAATCTGTATTCAACTCATTGAGTAGCTATTCACAGTTTATGGTAGTTTTATTCTTTGTTTGCGCTTAAGTTTCTGAGTCATTAAAATGGAGAAAATCTCTACCGGTAGTATTATGCGCTTGAATTAACAATAATTACATGAATATTATATGAACAATATAAGTTTTCCTATTGTACTCAACATTTAACAGGCGGATATCACGATAAAATGGTATGAATTTTTAACTTAAAATTATGGTATTGAACATGCGATACAATTTCAGTAATAAAATGCGACTAAATTCGAAGATAAATATATGAAAGGAAAAATTAAAGGTTGCACCTACCATTATAACAATAGCTACAGAATATTAAAAAAAAAGTCACTACAGTAAATGAGTTTTACAAAATGTGAAGAAATACATTTCTCTCTATTTGACATATGCTGAAGTAGACTATAGACATTTTTTCTACTTTATCCAAATCATTACGACGCGACATTAAATTTAGGTTTTTCTCTCAGTGTATGAATTAAAGAACATATATTACAATGGGATTTCAAAATTGCGCCAAGTTCAAGTACATATTATATAAGTAAATGTCGTAATCGATACCAGAATTTCGCTTAATTTTAAATTTAGAACCGCACCGTTCTGCGCATCGCAACGAAGCCGAGCACCTGGTGACGCTGCCCGAAGACGAGGCGGTCGTCGCCATGATGGGGCTCCCCCGGCCAGGGGAGATCACTAGGGCCCAGCTGCGAATCAAAGAGAGCAAAGAATTCAAGGTACGATCTATAAGATATGTATTAACAAAAAGGCTATTATTGATTAAACATAGCTTAAGTGAAGCATCGTCGGTTAAAGAAGACGCAAAAAAATCAGCATTTTGGTCACAAGCTAGATCGCCCCATCCGGTGATTTCGGACGTAGTGATTTTTTTTTCGAGAATTAAAATCATAATTAAACGCGGGAAAACAGTAAATTAATTTGTTTAACACTATATACACGGGGATCACGTCACCGAATTAAATTGTGGTAGTAAAGGTGTCTTGTTGTTCAGACAATTGATTAGTTACGTTTTCAATCCTGTATAATGATTAAAATAATAATGAATATATATAAAATTGAATTGATTGATGAAAATATTCCTTTTTTTCCACTTTTTAAAAAAAATTATATAATTATTTTTTTACAGAACACTGTAGATAAATTAGTACAAAGAGCGAATGCCTCCATCATAATAGGAACCTCCTCCTGGAAAGAGCAGTTCACAGAAGCAATAACAGCCAGCTCAGGTAGGTCCTCAGGCTCAGGTGGATATGGTATCCTAAAGTTGTCAGCGATGTTTGTAATGATGAAATAATTTTCAGGTTCCGATGATCCTGACGAGCCCCCGTCATGGTCGGATTATATCCTTCATATCATCACCGTTTTCTGGAAAATTATTTTTGCTTTTGTTCCTCCAACTGGTGAGTTTTTTTAATCTTTATTCAAATGCCATTGAGGGTTTCTCAACTGATCTGTTATTACATTGGTGGCATTATTGCTTTCTTTTAAATATTTTACTAACCGAAATTTAATAATCAAAAGCTACATTACGTACAGCAAAATCTATTCATCATCATGATCATCATCATTTCAGCCTGTTTGAGTCCACTGCTGAACATATTCTTCCCCCACTGACTGCCACGAAGCACGATCCTGGAAATCAAGCAATAATTCAGCGATTTCAAAATTCCCTTCGGAGCGCGCGGTAATAGATTCATAATAACAATAGTCCTCGTAAGATACTAAATGATTAAGAATGTTGTTTGAAAATTCGATCTGACCGTATAAAATTTTTTCGTTAATAACTTGCTCTCTTAAACTTTAGACATCGGTGGGGGCTACGTGTGCTTCGTGGTGTCCATCGTGTGCATTGGGCTGGTGACGGCGGTGATTGGTGACGTCGCCTCTCACTTCGGCTGCACCCTGGGCATCAAGGACTCTGTCACTGCCATCGTCTTTGTCGCACTCGGAACTAGTATACCAGGTATGAATTTCTTAACACTCCTTACATAAAATTAGAGTATAATTTGAACATATTGTAAAATCTAGGAAACTGAGTGTTCACCCAAATATACAACTACATTTTCTCTATTATATTTTTACAGATAAAGTTGTATATGAAATAATAGAGACTGATAACGAAAACAAAAAATATCTAGATCCTTACTTTACTTTCCTTACTTTTTTTACTTTCCTAACTCCTTTCATAGCTTCTGTTACGTATGAGTTTTTATTAAAGCAGATATATATAATACCATAAGGGGACTAATTGTAATGGGCTGGGGGCTAATTGAAATGCTTTTGCCAGATACCTTCGCCAGCAAAGTGGCAGCGATCCAAGATAAGACTGCGGACGCGTCCGTGGGCAACGTCACCGGCTCCAACGCGGTGAACGTGTTCCTGGGAATAGGCGTTGCGTGGACAGTCGCCGCTATCGTGCACTGGACTCGCAACGAAAAGTTCCTCGTCGATCCCGGAAAGTAAGTGTGCGCAAATAGTTTTTTTTTTAATGTGAAATGTTGCCAAACGAGCAGACGGTTCACCTGATGGTAAGTGAATACCGCCGTCCATGGACATCTGCCACACCCGATGGTTACAGATGCGTTGACAACCTTTTGAAAATTGGGCTCCGGCTACCTCACTCACCAGACGAAACGCGAAAGTATTTGTCATACTTCCACTTTTCGCTGGTCTTCTGTGAGGTCATGGTACTTACCCGGACGGGCCTGCCCATTCGTGCAACAGCCGAGGCTGCTGTGTGGCCCTAACACCGTAGAAAGATTACAGAACTTTTTTTTTTATTTCGCATATCAATAAATGTCCCAATGGCCCTGCGGGAACATTTCAGGGACGTTAAAATAACACCAAACCAATGTGTAGTCCATGGCAGGTGGAATGTCATGCGCACCGGGTGAAAAAGGGATTGAGGTTTTTGTAACAGAAATTCGGAAAACTTTGGTGGTGGTGATTGATGCTTGCAATTTCTTATTTCTTAAAAGAATTTACAGCAATTGACCTATGATGTTAAAATTCAAGACGCCCGCCCTTTTAATGTTTTTTTTAATGTGAAAAGTTGCCAAGCGATCAGACGGTTCACCTGATGTTAAATAATTAAAAATACCGCCGCCTCTGGACATCTGCTACACTCGAAGGATCCAGATGCGTTGACAACCTTTTGAAAATTGGGCTCCGGCCACCTCATTCACCAGACCAAACGCGAAAGTATTATACTTCCACTTTACGCCGGTCTTCTGTGAGGTCGTGGTACTTACCCGGACGAGCCTGTCCATTCGTGCAATACCAGCGGCTGCTGCATGGCCCTACCACCGTAACTAACTTTAACTCGCCCTTCCCTCAGCCTGGCATTCAGCGTGACAATGTTCTGTTCGGAAGCAGCACTTGCCGTTCTTGTGCTCATCCTGAGGCGGAGGAAGTCAATCGGTGGGGAGCTCGGTGGGCCTCGTGGCATGAAGATTCTAACTTCTATATTCTTCTTCTCTCTGTGGCTGGTCTACCTCATCATGTCCGGCCTAGAAGCGTATGATGTCATCCAAGGGTTTTAAATCTAATCCACAGCAAACTATATGGTGCACTAAATGTGCAAAATATTTTAAGACGAAAAAGTATTTGTGGTGTTTTGTTAAAGTTAATATTTTCCTGTTCGATGTTATAAGAGAAGATCGAAAAGTAGAAGCCCAAGGTAAGGTGTTGTGCTCAAATGTACAGGTTTAGAACTCTTAATGTATTTTATTCTTCCCCTAGCCGTTTCTCTCTATATCTCTTTCATGACTTTTTCATGTTTCCATTTTAGGTAATATTTGCCTTAAAGGCTGTGGTCAGAAAGGTCTAATAAAATTAGCTAAGTTAACTATAAACACTATTGCATAATCTAGAATTTATCGAAGTTGTTATATTGAGATATATTTGTTTACAGTTGATTTATTGAATATTGTAGTCTATGTAGGAAAGCCAAGATTTTGCAAGCGCTTTAACAGATAATAGAGATTGTGCTAGAGATGGTTGAAAAGCCAATAGATTTAAGATATAATACATGAACTGGTGTTTGTGTTCAGACATTAACGTTTTCAAATTTGTTTATTAAAAATTTTATTGTTAATAAAGCGATTTTATACTTAATATGAATTTTATAAGGAATATAATAATATGTATGGAACCTCTAAATTAATATTATATTCAATATTATATATATGAACGAATAAATTTTATTAGATTTTAACTGATAACAATTTAACGAATAATATAAATTTTAGATTTTTTTGAACGAATTGTGTCATCATAATTGCAAATTTACTGCTACTTTAAGGTATGTCACTAGAAAATTTTAAACATTGTTCACAATGCAATCTTAAGTAACAAACATTAATTTTATTTTCAGAAAATTAAAGGAAATTTGTGTAAATCAAAGGAAATGAAAAGTGTCCCTTCATTTTGATTTATTATATCATTTTAAAATATAGTAAAATATACATACATACATACATAATATATTTACAGTTATTTATAATGATGGCTTTCATGTAAGATTTTGCCAAAATATATTATATAGTTTCAGAGGGCTTTACAATAAATTTATTGATTGTTTACAGCTTATTTTTAATAATTACTTATTTACAAAATACGCTAATGGCATTTTCATTAATGCCTAACATTGCACCTACAATTATTCGGCAAAAAGGTTAATTATGTGGAAAACACCTTTGACAGCCCCATCTATTTAGCGCCCTAAATGATGTTTGCACTCTAAGAACACTTTCTTCCGTCCGATTTTCGGCAGCTCAAATGAATCCTACAGATCGGATCTAAAATTATTTCACTTGAACACAGAATTGGTCAAAACTGATCAATTAATTTTGATAACCAGTCAATGTAATTAATGTTTATTAGAAAAATTCGATGTATTATTATTTGACATTCTTACTTTAGGTGATAATCAGGAACAGTTAACTTAGATTTACATTTTTGTTAGTAACATTTGCCGATTATCAACATTAATTGACCAATTTTGGCTTTTTAGAGACAATCAGAAATAAATTTAGATCCGTTCTCTAGGATTAATTTGAAGCGCCAAATTTTTCGCGATGACCATAGAATCTTAAACTATTGGCAGTTAGTGTCCAAGTATTGGCCAATAGCTAGAAATCATTGACCATTTATGACCATATCGTGACAAACCCGGACTACCACGGAGTTCAAATTTCATCATTTTGGCCGCTAAACAAATGGGACACAAATATTAAGACAGTCAAGCGTTAGTTGTTACACTGGCAAAGGGCATCGATCCCAATAGAAAGTTCTGTTTGCGTGTGTTTGATAGAGAAACGGAGATAATGTTTAGCGTAATTAAATGTTATATTTAAATTTTTTTACTCCGGTTGCAGCTTATCTTTTAGAGACCTTATTATTTAACATAATCGTAACAAAAAACCGTTATCTCGCAAAAGTATAATCACAAACGTATTTTTTACTCTCTTAATTTTGACCACTAACGTGTTAGCAACCGGTCTTAATACGAACTTTTCCCCATGATTATTAATTTTCACTATATTTTAATGACGCTATAGATTTCCATTTGCACGCAATTCAAATATTTGCAGGTCAGGAATAGCTCGGTCAAAAACGAGATACACTAAACTGTATTACGATGATACAAACCATTCAAATGCTGATCTATGTTAAATATCATGTGTTTACTAGAGATTTTTTGTTTATTTAACGTCTTATTATCTTATTTTGATACTAACATTTAAGTATAATGAAACAATTGTCTAAAAAATATTTATATTAGTACGTTTTTATTTCCAAATGTTTTGATTATTTTTTTTAAGTGAAAGTAACTCAGCATGAGATATATTTACTGTAATCAGCATTCTCCGTACTGGTCAAGATTAGTTGGCAATCATTTTTAAGTTATTTTATCTTAAGTATGCATACGTTACTATTGGGAATTGATTATTTTTATATTCGTGTTTACAAGCATTTTTAATAGACCGAGAACCAATGCAGGTGAACTAAATGTATTTAGTTATACATATATTATGACATCTTTAATTTTATATAATAATTATATTTATGGATTGTATAAAATATCAGACTAAGCCAGAGGTATAATTCAAAAGTTGGTGAAATAGGAATTTCATTGTTAATAAACAAAGACAATGAAGTAGTTTTAATGAAGGTACTTTTTAAGATTTGTAGAGTGTATTGTGTTGTGTTTGTTCTACTTAGAGATCGTAGTGACTAATTTTAGCCCTATCTAATGTTATTCAGAAGGTTCCTCTCGCTTCGCCATTCTGCAGCTTTAAACGTAACATCGCGCCACACCTGCCATCACCAGAGAAACCTTAAGCTTACGGCTTTCAACTCTCAACTATTTCTATAAACTCTGATCTTACGGCTACTTATATCTATTGTCCCATATCATTCGATATAAGCCACTCGTATTCTGTATTATCTCCTATATATTCGACGTATTCAGTTTTACCCTTTCCTGTCCGTGTTTTATTTCTATCGTACGTTTATGTGATGTTGAATTTCTTGTGTACAATGACAATGTGAAATGATTTTTGACAGTGGTGTATTTAGTACAAAATTAAATGATATTTATATTCATTGTGTTAGTTTTTATTTTAAAGTTACATCCCTCTTTGGCTTTTAAACTATCTCTTTAATATTTGGTATCACTCTCTAAAGTATCCGTATAAGATTAATGGTCTTCTACGTTGATTGCAAAATACCCATTTTAGCTCTTGCTATGAAATTTTGCTGCTCACCAAGTTATATTATATATTAATATTCTTGATTGCATTAAGTATTAAGATTGCATGTATTTTATGCTAATTATTTTATTTATTTCACTGAACTCTGCCAGTGAACTTACGCCGTAACGTAACTTACGGCGCGTAATCTGAACGACGCAAGATCAAATCCTAGCAGCGCGGCGAAAAACTTCGTCGGTTTTTCAGAAAATAATTTAAAGATTTCACCGTAAGTGCAGAAACATGAATGTAATTTAAGTATTTTAAAGTATTTTAGATAGATTTAATCTTGTAAATATTAAATCAATAAAGATTGTAAAGTTTAAAAAAAAAAAAAAAAAAATTAAGTATGTAACCAAACGCATATTTACATTACTGGCATATAGTAAGCACACGTAGAAATTTGAGTTTCCACTAGCGTGATACACGGTCATGTGAACATGGGTTCATTCTGAAAAATAATCGTTTTCTAGGTTAAGGGACATCGTGGATTTTTTTTCAACTTTTTTCAAAGGTCACTTTATTAAAAAAAAAATTCATCTTAAGTGCAGAGACTGGTACTAAAAATTTTAAATAAAATTTGTTACTGTATTAAGTATGTGTTATACATTTTTCAATAGTACATTAATACTACAAATTTAAACTTTTGTAAAATCAGGTCATTATCAAAACTTTAAGCATCGCAGCGGCCATCAGAAAAAATGGCAATTCCCTTGTAAAGTGATTGCAAATTTATTCTTCGCAAAAAAGTTGACTTTTTCATTAGACATTCTATGGAAGTCGGGTAAAAAATGACGCCCATGAGCCTTAATCGTCGATTTGCACATATTCAGTGTCATGGCATGTTCGATAGCGATAGAACTACAATGTTTTTAATTATAAAATCTTTTATAGTCTTAAACTGCATATAAGGAATTAAAATCATGAAATGTGAAAGAAAATGAAAATATGTCAGTTTGAATTTTTGTACAAAAGTCCCTGTACGGGAACACATTTTTTTTAATCTTTCATTTCAAAAGCTACTTTAAATAGAGTAATTTCAACTGAATTTAAAAAAACCAATTGTGAATATAAAAATAAAAGTAAATCGTCTTTCTAAATTCATAGTATTATAATAAAATTATTTAAAGGCACGCTTACTTTTGTATAAAACTAGTTTGAATTTTAATAAAATCAATTGAAGAAATACGTAACGCCCCCAAACAAAATACACTTTTTAGCTAAGAAATCATCACGTAGTTTAAATATTTGCCTTATAGAGTTCTTACCGTTGAAATGATTCCGTGGCAATATTAACCTTCATTTTTTAGATTTTTTACTCATTAACTCTGTCAAAGGCCGCGCCCACGGGTGAGTTTATTGAAAATAAGTGCAAATTTATCTAAAAGTTTTGGCCCTCAAAGTATATTATCGCGTTTTAGTGTTTGTTAGTGAAAAATAATATTTTATAAATTAAAACCGACTTCAAAGAACAGGGAACGCGTTAATTCTCTATTAAAGCATTTACATAGATAAATTCACGATCCATGATGTTTTCCCCAGACAGCGCTATTAAACGATGTGCGCTGCTAACTTTAATTACAATTACGTTGGATTAATATATCATATAATTTTATGCACACCAATGGCGGCCTTCAGAGGTCCGGGGCGGTAAAGCAGGAAGAGGCCCCTAGTTTAAGCAATTGATCTAATTAAACAAGCTTTTCGTTCACATCACATTTGTACGTATGCGATTTACTTAAAGCCTTGTAAGTGAAATTCAAATTGGACTTAAATAAATATACACAGAGTAACGAGATGGATGAAGAAAATAAAATACGAATCAATCTGCAAAAAACTAAATTTAAAAATGAAGTAATAGGTAGTTTTTCCTTCCAACAAGTTTCTTGAACTAAAACTATATGGACATAATAAAGATTAGCAGCAGTAGCGTAGATTGCCTTAAACGGGCCCTCAAATCAAAATGTATCGGCCCAAATGAAGAGTAAACATTTTTCACCAAAGAAACAAAAATCTCATTTGGAATTAACATATACTGTTCTCCCCTTTTTTTCTTCCTTTAATGGGCAGGCTCGCCCGGGTAAGTACCACGACCTCACAGAAGACCGGCGTAATGTGGAAGCATAATACTTTCGCGTTTCGTCTGGTGAGCGAGGTGGCCGGAGCCCAATTTTCAAAAGGTTGTCAACGCATCTGCAACCATCGCGTTTAGTAGATGTCTATGGGCAGCGGTACTCACTTAACATCAGGTGAACCGTCTGCTCGTTTGGCAACTTATCACATAAAAAAAAGCTGGGGCCCTATGAGCTTCGGGGCCCTGGTGTACTGCACCACCTACAACTACGATAGCTACGCCACTGGAATTTATTGTTCATATAGGAGAATGAGTTTTTAGATGTAATTCTATAAGTTATTATTTTTGTTTCCCGGGACCGTATGACTTAAGAATTTAAGTGATTGTGCTTATTATTACTTTATTGAAACGGCTGACAGAGCGTTAGCTACACCCCGTTTAGCAGTAGTAGTCATTTTATTTATAAAATGTAAATTACCAGTTCTGTATTGCTGTATTTTATCTGAAATGATGAGAACATGAAGGCGATTGGGGGGCCCCCCAAGACCGGGGGCCCGGGGCGGGCCGCCCCTTCCGCCCCTTCCGCCCCCCTGTTAGTCCGCCACTGATGCACACTAATATATTTGATATCGTAAATAGACGTACTCTCCTTTTATCTCTATTCGTTTCAAATAATTATTTCAATAGAAATCAATGCCATGCAGCAGAGTTCGCCACTATTAAAGGTTACTTATAACAGTAACAATCTAATGCAAAAATAATCGTCGTTCAATAATCCACGGCTACTTGGCCACTGTGGTCCCTCGATCGTAGGAACCTACTCACTATATTAAAGCATCGTATAAATTAAGCAAAACTGAGGTTATAATTTTGTTCCGGTTACCGAACAATGTTCGTAAGGAAAATTCTAGCTGAAGGGAAAGTTAAGAGATATGGTTTAATTTCTATTATATCTCTGTCAAAATTATTTACAGAAAGCTGCTTAAAGCCCTGGTTGCCTTCCTACTCAGACAGTATTCTTTTTCTTTAGATTTCTTTTTTTTCATCTTCACAGTTATTTTAATATGAAGAGTATTATATTGAAGTTTATATAAATTTGCATTCTAAGAGACGACAGTAGAAACAAATATTTTAACTTGTGAATTCACTCACAAATAGAAGGGACTAACTTAAATAAAAACTAAGGCCAATAAAATTAGATCAATAGTCCTAGGTCTATAATTCTCGATGCTTAATTTAAACTTTTTTATAAATAATATAAAGGTTAAAACATGTAGAAAAAGTACGAAAATGTGTCGCCGCTGTGGGAATCGAAGCCACGTCTTCGGCATTCGCGGCCTGACGCTCTAGCCACTGAGCTAAACGGCTGATAGTCACAGCGACGAAAATCTTAACGCCTCCTTTCTACATTATTATTTAGCATTTGAAACAATGCTTGGCAATATAAAGGTTTTTTAACCAACAAGCTAATAGACTACTCTTTTCTCCAATTCTAGTTGCATGGAATTAGGAACGAACTGGTTTATATAACGGTCTATAAACCTTAACAAATTGTATTATTTCAAAATTTACCAAAAAGTTTATAACAGAAAGGTGCGCGATTGTCGTATACTGCTATGAGGAAAACACTACAAACATGGGAACTTGTAATAATTATTGAGGATGACTAAAAAGACGACCTGCATTAATTCGGAGAAAGAACACGTGTAAGGCAGTAATTGTTGACGTAAACAATTAGGTCTCAATCGAGGCAGGCTGGTGTCGTGTTGCCGTGTTGTCGTGACGGGAGGCCGTTGTCAGGCCCCGCCGGCTATCTCTACATCAGCGGGCTCGTTATTAACGCCGACTTTCCTAATTCAATTAAAATTAATGACGATGGCCGCGCCAACTCGATGACTTATTGAAATATGACTTCGGCAACGGCGGCTCTGGAGTTATTGTTAATTACGTTTTTCAAAGCTTATTTAACACTGGCTTGATAGTAAAAGTGTATGTGAAATTCACGAATTTCATCTTAACTATACGACCTAATCTAGAAAACATTTTTTTTGTAATGAATGGTTATTGAATGGGTAAATTTTTCAATTAATACGTAGCTTTTATCTTTATTAGATTCAATTCAAAAACTTCATCACCAAGGTCTTCCTCATACAATATGATTGCTAAACGTGTCCTTAGCTTTAAGTTTATACAGAAGGTAAATACTCTGGGAGAAAGCACTTGGGCCAAGATTATACAGTTACAAAGAGATGGATACTCTTTATTTCCCATTAAATTGTCCTGTAGTTGAATGGACATCAAATTATTTCCAATACCTTGAAGGAAAAACTGGCCAGGTATGTTATACAGCGTGTCGTTACCATCGCGACAATAAATGAACACACATTTAGGGGACAAATTTTTAAAGTTGTATTAAACATTTAAATTCTTTAAACATCAATATTTACAGAGTTATTAAATTTTCCAAAACAAAGAATTTTAGAACAGCCCTTACCTATAAAAGTGTAACGTAAAGTTCATTTGTAAAGGTCACAAAGCACATGAATGGGTTGAATGAATTTAAAAGAGACAAAACATACTGTTAGAAGGAGAGGCTTGTAATACGACGCAGTGGCGCGAGTTGTATAGGATGTTACAAATTTTGTTTCTTTTTTACTTAATTAGTTTGTTAGAAAAATATTTTTTTTTTAATTATGGATTTTGTTTAACGTTAACATTTTTTATGATTATTGGCAAGTAGAGTTAGACGTGTGTTCATTTATTGTCGCGATGGTAACGACACGCTGTATAATAATGACTATGTGATCCCTGAATGCCTAACGCGGGATGTAAAATGATTGGGTTGAATCAATAAAATTCTATTTCGTGTGACTACCTTAAAAGATTATAATGAAAATATGAGAGACTAGCTCCGTCTGAGTGAAATATATGAAATGTGATAATCTCTAAGAGACCCCCGACACAGCGGAAATTAAACTGCGGTTTTCTCAATCAGTAGGGAAGATTTGACCCCAAAATTATTTACTTCTTTTAGAATATCATAAATAATCAAATAAAATATTAAATTTTACACAACGTTCTAAATTCTATTACATTACACAGTGCAATGACGCGGTCGACTTATCCACACTATGACTGTAACCGTTGTCATGTCACAATAAACTACGCGACTAAACGTATCAAGGTTCAATCAACAAACATTTGTTTCCGATATTAATTAGGCTTTTGTTTTTCATTGCGCTACGAATGTTCCAACGTTTATTCTCTCCGAATTTTCTTGCGCTAAACTATTCAGTAAATTGTACAGATGAATAAAATGACAATTTCACTTAGATAATAATCGTCACATGCCTTATTCATGTTTTATTCGGTAAACAACTTAAAGATTATGTAGGTAATTCTTTTACGGGTGAGTAAAATTGATAAATGTTTTATTTAGGATAAAAGATGGATAAATAAAATATAGATAAAAGCATAGATTTAATAATGTTCATTTCATTAATTCCTTCGCGGTGTTGCATGTGGCAAAATAAAGTCCTACTATTTGATTTATATTCTGATTAGTAATTTACTTACCCTCTATACCTCCTACTAACCATCAAAAAGTATGGCAGTATCTTTGGAGAACATATAATTAAGATTTGAATTTTTGAAAGAAGAGTACTACTCGTACACAAATCTGTGTCCGAAACGTTGGAGCTAATTAGATGCGTAAAATCCTGTAAAGTAGTAGTAGTTTAGTGTAACAAAAAGGGTAAATACATAAAATATATAACTCCATAGGACTTTAACAAAGAAATAGGTATACCTCAGAAGGCCATTTAATAATTAAACGCATCAGTTTAAATTGCTCTAGGGAGCTGAGAAATTGATACGGATGAGAAAAATCGTTCTTAAAACAAATTTGATATTTTTATGGCTCCGTAATTAAATTAGTAATTCAAACATTTAAACGTGAATTACAATTATATTGAATTAAAGAGGAGTACTAAAATTAGCTACATTTAGAAAAGGTTACAGTGTTTTGAAAAAAAAATGACCGAACAAAATATAAAACACCAAGATTTATGAAGCAGAAGTAAATGATAAAGAAGACGCTATAGGGGGACGTTCGCCGTAAAAATACAATGATGAGGTTTCATCTTTTAACACATTCACGTTTATTCTGTCGTACAGATGAGACTTCTTAGAATCCACCATTGGGTCGTTTAACAAAAACCAGTACGAAAAATGTCCTAATAAATCTTACTTAAAAGCAGGGTCATGGACAAATATGAAATGTGATGTGTTTTCTTCTTCGTAATTATTATAAATAACTTATTTCTTAACTTTCTTATATATTATATACGTATATGAAACTCTAGTTTACTAAAATAAATTAATATATTTACTTTCTAAGAAAATTCAGCTGATAATTTATGAAATTCAACATTATTTTACTGTATAAGATGTTATAATACTATTTGTTCAATCATCATCATTTCAGCCTGTTTGAGTCCGCTGCTGAACATAGGCCTCCCCCACAGACAGCCACGAAACAGGATCCTGAGCCACCTGCATCCTTTGACTTCCCGCACATTTGCACAGGTCATCACTCAACTAACCGACCCCCCGGCCTACACTGCAATGGCCTGATTTTTTCATTAATACATATAATTCAGTCTAATCCTGTGTCTATCTACGGAGAATCAACGCGCAAATAATATATTTTTACACTTGAGAATCAATGCGGAACCACGTGCTACGGGGACGGCATAAAACATTAAATAAGCAACGTCCATTCAACCTGAATACATAAAATAATATAGAATACGAAAAATTGTTTTAAAAGGTAGATTTTAGTTTAAACGGGAACTAAACTAAAAAGGAACGGGTAAAAATTAAATTCAATCTAAAACTTTTCAATAAGCTTGCATCTTTTGATCTGTTACGAGTGTGTTCTGTGAAAATCTAAAACCCGGCATAAAAGCTTCATGAATCCATCACATTTAAAGCCGAGACCGCTGGGCTATGAATGCGCTGAAAGACTATTCATTCTAACTTGATTCAGCTCTATGCAACGGAGAAATAGCTATTAATCACAAAATAATTACCTAACATTTTCTAACATTTCAGTAACGCCAAAAAATGTTATAATCGTTTTAATAAATTAGTTAAGTAGCAACGAAATAAAATGGCACAAGTCGTATCATTTCTGAAATAAGAAATACATATGTAAGGGAGACCGGGGTTAGAAGTCACATTTTTCTATTTTGAATTTTTAAGTGCCTATATTCTTGGCAAATCAATGAAATTTATATTTCAATGTATAGTGTATCTAATCTGGTTTCAAAATAAATTCATACTTTTTGACATTAACATCATCAATTGATGAAATATTACATTTTTGAGGAAAAGGAAAAGTGTGTATCCAGACTCCCTTAGGCTTTCTAGCAGAATATGATATGAGATAAACAGACTCTTTTTCATGTTCGTCATTGTAAACTACTTTCAATTGAATCCTCTTTCTTTTAGTAAGTTTTTTTTGTAGTTACTGAAAAAAACATATAGATACTTTCTTTTTCGTTTCTTGTTCTTTTTCTTCTCTTATAAATAGGTATTCTCAGGTGAATCTGTCAGAATTGCTCATTTATGTTATATACTTTTTGCACCATAGTCACCCCAATTTCGCCCATGTTCCATTTTTCAAGTTTAAAAAAAACTGTTGACATTTTGTGGATTAAAACTGGTGGGTCGAGCCAAACTAGTGGATTCAGATCTTCTAATGGACAGAGAACGATGTCTCTTCATAAAAGACGTGTACCAATCGGGGCCAGCTAGCTTGTTTGATTCCCAAGAGGGTGTAACTTTCAACTTATTGAAGACAGAAAGCTCGTACGTTATTATTAATTTATTATTTATTAAAATTCCAAAAAGCCAACAAAACAGCCAGCAGACATACATGGGTTGGTTGTGACATGTGACTTCCAGCCCTCGTTAAACTGAGACAACCTGCCCCAAAACACATTTTAGAAAATAACCCTAAAAAATAAATCTAAATCGGTGTATATTTATAAAAATATATAACAATATCGTGAGCCATATATTTAAGCTAACTAATCCATGAAAAGGTAGTTCACAATGCAAAATTTAGGCATACTTACAAGGATCGACACAGATGCACAAAAAATTACTTTGAGTGTGAAAAAAAAACAACGTTTCTCCGTCACGGCGTTTCGGAGCGAACCAAAGTTACGTGGGGAGGGAGGTGATACCTTTGCGATTCTTTGACGCCGATCAACTCGTAATCGTTCGATAACTTTTCTGTTATGACCACTGTGACAACCAACCCGGTCTCCCCTATACACAAATTAAAAACGATACTTTATTTAATTAAAATGATTGCGAAAGTGACATATTTTCATTTAAAGCGTTTAAATCTAATATATAAAATTCTCGTGTCACGGTGTTTGTAATTGAACTCCTCCGAAACGGCTCGACCGATTTTCGTGAAATTTTGTGTGCATATTGACCAGGGTGGAGAATCGGACAAAATCTATTTTTCATCCCCCTAAATGGTAAGGGTGGTCCACCCTAGTAGACAGGCCATATTGCTAAGTTTACTCGCAATAGATGTTTACTAAAAACAATCTTTACTTCAACATTAATAATGCCGCGCTTACCGAGTACCGGGCGCTCCTTTTAATTTTGTCTTATTCGAAAAACTTGAGATCAAATACCGCCGCCGCACCAATGAAACGTCAATTTACGCCTTAGAGAAGGGATCAAGAGTAAATATCTGTAAAAATGGAGAGAGTTTTATTTTAAATTTTACGTTCGTTAATATGCAGTGATTTGCCTTTCACATAGGCAGCTATGGGCATAAAGATATTTTTACTTCACTTCAAATTCATGAGGTAAC